TGTTCTCGCTCTTGTATCTCGCGCTACAATCACAATATGACTGACAAATGTGAATTTCGTCGTCGTCGTGGCGCAGGGGTTAGAGAAGGTGTGCTGGGAAGCACGAGGTTGGTGGTTCAATTCCAGGCTGCCCAGTGTTCCATGTCGAAGTGTCCCTGAGCAAGACACCTAACCCCTAATTGCTCCCCGGGCAAAAATGTGAAAAAAGCCATGGGTTTAAAAGTGTAATGTAAGTCGCTTTGGATAAAAGCGTCTGCTAAATGACATGTAATGTAATGTAATGTAATGAATAATATATAAAACATTTTATAACACTGACATCATTATGATCCCACTGTGAGAGATGGGAGTCTCTGACCTCCGTCGTTCAGACGTCATGTTTGATGGCTCAGTGTAATGGTTTATCATGACTAGTTAAAGTGGCTCATATTTAACGGCTTAACTTTCTGAATGATTTGTCGTTGCTTGATATCTTATCCCGGAAGTTTCTTTGTCGCGTTTCCTGTGTTTTGTGGTCGTTGCGCTTAGACTTTCGTCTATGATGGAACACTGCAATGTAAATGTGTCGTTTGGCATGAAAAAGCTGTGAAAGAAATGGAGACCAACTTTACTCGGGAGTAGGAATACGTCAGTAGACCCACACCTTTTATTACAGGAAGTTAACACGTCAGATAGGCCTGCTATCCTGTTACGAAGCGTAAATGTCCAGGATTTCTTCTTGGTGGCACCTGTGAAGACACAAACGTACTCAAACATTTGTGAAACAGTTACTCACATATTTTGTAAATGTGAGCGAAGAGGGAAAAGACGGGACACTTCTACTGTTTTCCCTTGAAATGTAATCGTTCCTGATAATATGAAGAAAAAAATAAATCAAAAGAGAAATTATGTTAAGAAAATACTCATGTATTACTACTTTTGGTAATTCTACTAGTTATTTGAAATTATTTCTATATTTTTTTCCCACTAAACAAAACGTTATGCAGCTGCGGTTGTTTCAGAAGAGTAAAAACATTTCTTAGAAGAGCTCCACACAGAATTCAGATCAGATCTTCGATTTAGGAATCACGCCTAATAATGATGTGTTTGAATAAAACAATCCTTTGACAAAATTCTTACACAACGAGTAAATTTGAGTATAAAAAATGAGTATAAAAAAAGAAAATGACTTACCAAGAAAATCTAAGGGACAGAAAGATCTGCAGCAATAACACTTAATACGAGTTTTTAAAAAAACACTGATTCAGTACTAAAGTTGACAATTTCTGTGGCATTTGGCGGTAAATGTGAACATATAAGTGCAGTCATGCCTGAAAAGAAATCCTGTTATCTGATTACTACATTTATACCTCAAATGAGGAGGGAAATCAGAATGTAATCACAAAAACACATTTTAAACAAAAGCAGTTGATTTGTAGAAACAATAAATACAAAAGAGCTGTCGATCAGCTGCATCTAAAAGCTGTCCGTGGTCACGCTGATGACCTGTGGCTCCACTCTGTTCCGGTTGCAGCTGAAGAGCCAGGCTGCCCTCCTGTGGCGGTAGCGCTTCGACAGCAGCACATACAGCACCGGGTTGACACAGGGGTGCAGGTACTGCAGCACCGTACAGATGAAGTAAAACATCTCCCAGGCCTGTCCGTGGCGATACCGCCCCAGGTACAGACACAGCTCCAGCACATAACCCGGCAGCCAGCACACCGAGAAGGTAGTAGCGGCCAAGAACACCATGATGGAGGCACGGCGGGTGTTCCTGGCGCTGGACACCGTCATTACAGGGCTCTTGTGGAGAAAAAGAGCCAGGCGGACGTAGTTGAAGGCGATGACTAGCATCGGAACAAAGTAGTAAAGAACGAACTGGCTCAGCACCACTTGGTAGTGGTGCTCGTGAATGGTTGGGAGGCAGAAGGTAAAGTTGGCCAGGCTCGGGCCGAGGCTCTCTTTGGTGGCAAACATACGCAGCGGCAGGCTGATAAAGAAGCTGAGGGCCCAGACCAGGACGAACATGAGGATGACCAAGTCCATGGTTGGCGGCTGGTAAGGGTTGGTGATGATCATGGCGCGGGCCATGGACACTGCGCACAGCGAGTAGGTGCTGGCCGCCAGACTGAAGGCCAGCAGGAACTGGTAAACCTTGCAGGACATGTCGCCCAGAGGCCAGGAGTGACTGACGGCCGAGTGCAAGGTGAAGGGGATGAGCAGCAGGGTGAGGAAGTCGGCCAGGGTCATGCTGAGTAGGAGGATGTCCAGTCGGTTCTTGCGCAACGTGTTGTACTTTGCAAACAGAGAGAAGACCAGCAGGTTGGCGCAGAGCCCGATGGCCAGGATCACGCCACAGGTACAGGCAAAGATCAGCACATAGGGGTTAGGGACAGCCACCTTTCAAATATAAGAACAAAGACAAGCATTTATTCAGTCATGTTTGAGATTGTTTGCTTTTATATCATAGAGAACTTCATATTTTAGGGGGTTTCGACTATTATTTAAAATGCAAGACAAAATGTGTCATATTGGGCTCAGGAAAAAGTCAAATGAACAATATTTTAGTATTTCTATCTTTATTAACCAAATATCATCAAAATAATAATTAATTGGACTTGAATAGCATTGTGCTATGAGTGAAATAACACACAAGATACATACATCTGTTTAATATGGTCACTTTTAGTCCTAGTATGGCCAAAATTATTATTTTTTTCGGTTGATTTAAATAGCATCTGAAAGGCTAACGTGGCCCCGTAGCGATACAAAATATATACGTATGAATATGTATGGATCATACTACCACCAAAATACACATGATGCAATATTACAAAAATAAAAGCTTTTCTGTATAGCAACAGTAATATGTTATTTATTTAATGAACATTTTGACAGCCACACTATAACAGGGGTGTGTTGCACTAAAATGGTGCCAAATGTAACAGTTCTCCATCATTTGGACGCACTCACCATCGTCGTTCCAGGGATTTCTTCAGGTTCATGTTCCTGAGGGATCTGTCCTCATCACGTAGACTTCCATTTCCCTGGCGTCCGTCCTGTTAAACTGGACTGACGAAGGGAGAGGTGGCAGCCTCTCAGGACTCATTACAAAGTGTGATAGGTGAATGTGGAAAGAGGAAAGGCAAACACCACTCGGCTCAAATTGATTCGGCTTGACTTGCTTTAAAGAGAAACAACCTCGGAACAGCTGCTCAGGAAACAGTGCTGCACTATAATCCCTGCTCTGTTACTGTCATTAGATGTATGAGGATCTTCACTTTCAAGAACAGCTAAGAAAGTGAACCTTTTATTTATATCAGTCTGTTTAGAATACCTTATGGACCCGGACTGTGTTTCTGTCTGTTGGGAACTTCCCTAATCTGTTAAAGCCTCTTTGTTTTAAGGCATTTAATTCCCAGAGTATGAACAAAAAACGATAGCACTCTCCAAAGAAAAAAGGGACAATTCCATTGATCACGGTGACTGTTTCTCCCCTTCTCCGGAGATATTAATGTCTCTCTCCGTTGTTTGATTGATTTCTTCGCTGCAGGCTCCTGGCAGCGGTTTTATCAGGCTTTCCACAGCATTTATGACTCTGTGTCAGCTAATGGCCTACGGTGTAGACTGCTGCTCTTAGCACAGGATATAGCTGATGCTGATGCATTTGCTAACCCGTCCATTACCAGTGGCCGTGCCATTCACCCGGCAGCTGTTCTCAAGTGGGACGTCAACAGCTTTGTTATGCTCTGTCCGCTTAAAAAAAATGTTTTGACCCAAATCGTGAAATTCTTATTTATTTCTAGATGAGATTGAACAAAGGCCCATTCATCCCCCTGTTTCCTCTTTTCTGTTTTTATCCGCTGAAACGTCGTGATTGAGATTTTAGAGAGAGAATTGATAACTGACCTGTAGATTAGTCACCTTTCCAATTGATAGTTTTTATACCACGTTGTGGTGAATCATTCATGTAATTTGATGCACCATAAAGCTGAAATGATTAGCCCAGTAATCGATTGGTAGCTCAACAGGAAATAATCTATCGTCTTCTTTGATAATCTATTTTCAATTCAGTTGTTTGAAACACTTTTTAACACCGTTCACTGTTTCCAGGATTCACAAATGTGAAGATGTGCTTTGTATGCTATGAGTGAAAACTGACATACATTTGGCTTTTGAACTGGACAAAATCACCTCTTTGAAGAGACCACAGAGGGTTCTGTAAAATGATGATAGACTAAATAAAATGATCATTCCTCAATGTTCAGCACCTTAAAATAGGCAATTGACTCTGCTGCAGATAGAATTGATTTGCAATCAAGTTGTGTGCTTATTGCTCTAAGTAATAACAAACCTTGCATTTAGTTTATCACCATAATACCAAGTATTCTGTTCACCTGATGCAAACAACACTTAATGATGTACATACAAATTGCTGCCATCTTTAGGGTTAATACAAGACTAACTACTTATTTTCAATACCAATTAATCTTATGGTATTATTATTAAAACACGTATTATATTATCACAAACGACATTGTAAGCAATGTTTTGTGATTTGCTCGAGTTCTAAATCACTCAAAAGGATCAACCTTATATCTAAATGTTTGCTTTTAATAATTGTATCTCTACCTGTCATCAGGCTTATTGCGGTAGTAAGTGTCATCAATGTAACACAACTCAAAGGCACCGTTTATATAGGGCGGCCTGTCCAGTCAGTTCCCAAATTCATATAAAAAGCTCTTTCATTTATAAAATACTAAGCTGATGTCAGCAGGTCAGCTGAGCACGTGTCGGAGTCAAGTTTCACTAATCACGTCACGGGAGGAAGGAGAGCTGAACGTCAAGACGATGGTGGAGGATTTCAAGTGAAAAGCAAAAAACCCTACGTGGTAATACAGTAGTAGCAGCAGTGGTATTAGTAGGGTAAGAACTCTACTGATAGTGATCGTCATAGACAAACATCTAGTGTTATCACTACTTGAGCCACATTTGACTTGTGGACAAAGACACCGTGAATAAAAATGTTCTATTAGCTACACTTTTAATGTTTGATTAACTGGAAACATGTACAGTATGCCCTCAGTGCATGGTGAAGAACATTAAATGAGTCTGACAGCCCCCGACTTAAGCTTGTTCTATAAAAATAAACAATAATATGAAATGGTGAGTAGACTTGATGAAGCATCCAATAAGTTACAAGTCCATGGAGGATCTAAGTAATGCAGAAAACTTCCAAAAGAAACATCAAAATAGAACTCAACCACAAAAGAACATGTACAGGATATAACTAAAGTGCATTATGGAATTTAGTCAGCAGCACCATGATACATTCACAAAATAAATACACACTTTCAAAGTGAAATAAATTATGGTAGAACGGTTTGAACAGATGTATGCAGTGAACAGATGGTGTGTACAGTAACTGTCAGTTCACGATAGTCAACATGGAGCCAAACAAAAAAGTAGACCACTCGCCTCCCAATTTTCTGAAGTTACATAATAGTCAGGCAATAAATACTCGTGCACTCGGTTGGTTAGAGATGACGGCATGTGGCTTTTTTTAAAAAGTCAAAATTACAGATGCCTACAGGTGTTCCAAAATAAATATGGACCTAAAAAGATGTTGTGGAGATAATTTGCAAAAACGTTCTGATCAAAAATATAAACTCAGCAAAACATTATCATACAAGCTCAAACCCAGGACGTAATATGAAGTGACTAAGTCAGCCATGAGTAGAGTCTCTCAGGTCACGCCGAACCCATGTCCGTGTCTTAGTGCAGTTCCATCCAAACGCCATTGGGAGTCTCTCAATCAGGTCACTGCGTCCTTCACGGCTCCTTGGCTGTGACAGACCGCGCACGCGTCCGCTTCTTGTCGCTCTCTCTACGACGGCCCAGCCTCGCCTTTTTTTTCCTCTTGGTGGCCACTTTAAGTGGCTGGTCCTTGTAAGCCACGGCCTTGTTGGTCTCCTGTGGCAGGTTAGGGCCCTCTATGTCCGGGCTGAACCCGGTGGGGAGGTTCTTGGTAGCCCCTGGGGGCTTCTCGTTCAGGGCATTCCCACTGAAGGTCTGGATCTGGATTCGGCTCTGCACGGGCGGAGCTCGCTCGTCGGCCGTGTGCACCTCTTCCAGCAGCTCCTGCAGCCACATGCGGCGCTTGAACTCCTGTAAGGAGCGGCCCTTGTCATGCATCAGCTGGGCGTGGCTCACTGACCTCTTCCTTTTTGCAGGAAAATGAAGAGACGGATTGAGAGTCAGAAAAACAATGGAGGTTGCCTTAAAGCTAATAAATAAATAGTAAATCTGCATTGTGCATGAGAGGAGAGCAGCAAGTACGTCAGTTATGTACTGAGTACTTATTCTGATTTATCTACAACTATCAATCAAATCATTTAACCAAGTCTTCATTTGAAGTCAGCACCAACAAAATCTGACCATTTTCTTATTTCATGATGCACCACTGTATTGAGCTTTTGCATGGCGCAGTGGTAGAAGACTTGAAAGCAGAGAAGTGGTCAGGCACCAGGACAGCTCAGTACAGTAGGTGGCAGCATAAACAAATCTGTGAGAGTCATGACTAATCTAAGCACCAGCCCCCCCCCCAAAAAACGAGTGGAAATGGAAAAAACTCTTGTACCTTTATTTCATCTGATTAATCAACTCTAGATGTGGGTTTTCTAATCCTGACCGGAATGTTTCAAAATTTTTCCTTCAGTTAAAGTTGAAATATTAACCAGCTCTCCATTTTAAAGTTTCATATTATCTAAAATGTCCATCACTTTTCTATTGTCCTCAAAATGATACAAAGGATAACTCACGTTCTGCTACTTAGTGCAGCAACCGGTCTCCCATCAAGAGTCACTGGTGAGCACAGCAAGAACACAGCCAGACTCCACTGATGGAGCATGACTACGGAGCACATCCTTAAGCCCAAGATCTGAAGAACACAAGAAATAGCAAATCAGTCACTTCAGTGAATAAAGTGGAACTTTGTTTTCGTGAACTGTCCACTATTCGATAGACAGTCAAGCGGTGAAGCTAAAAAATGTTGCTCCGTTCCAGAGTACGTCAGCTGCCCAAGGCAACATTACTTGTGCAAACAGTTTATTAAAAGGAGAAACATAGACTTACATGTTTACAGTGAAATCCACAAAAAGCTCAGTCTGCAAGCTAGTAAGCAAAAATTCATTTACAAAGTAAAAAGAAAAATTATTCTTCCAAATGCAATCTGGCCACTTCAAAACTTGTGTCCAGATGGGAATGCAGGCAGCATGGGGAAATCCCCCGTCACTCAGCTCCATTCATTTGCCTCCCAACAGGGTGGGTTGAGCTATTTATTTCTCCCCAGCGTCCCAATTGAGAGACAGATAAAGATGGAAAGAGGAGCAGCAGCAGAAGCAGCAGCCCATCAGCTGTGGGGCTGCAAACTCCACCCGACGTTGCAGTAATCTCATGAAGAGTTATGATGAAGCATCTTCTCTGGTGGCCGGAGCCGCAGCGCTGTGCCGAGGGGGGGTTTTACAGTCCAGCTCTGTGCGAGTCTGTCTGAGAAAGGCACAGTGAGAAAGTCAAACTCCTCTTTGGGGGAAGAAGAAGAAGAAGGCACTACCTCAGCCCCTACCCATTAAGTCCAGTCCTAACACCCTCCCCACCCTTCCCTCTCTCCCTCCCCCTCAGCCCTTCACACACACCTGCTGTGACAGGAAGGTGGCTCCCGTGCGACATCCCGGACGCCCCACAGCAAAGAGGTTCACTTTGCTCAAGTTCATTTTTAAGCCGTTTCTCGCCATTTGCGACCAAATGAAGTCCACTGATTATTTAATCATAAATATGTCAGAAAAAAAGTGACAGGTGTGCAGTGTTGGAGGTAATCGTGGGTTACCAAGCAGAGGGTATAAGGGGAGGGGCAGACTCCCTCCAAAGTAAACAGCCAGGCCTAACCACAGTCCCAAGGGAGAATGACCATAACCTCAGAGAAACCCAACCCACAGCTTCTCACTGCAGACCATTCAATTCACCCCGACTCCCCCTGAGCAAACCAGCTCACCACCAAATGGTTACAGTGGGCGCTGAGGTATCCTCCGTGTCCACCTAATAAAGAAAGTGGAGATCGTTGCATTAAGTCGGCAATACGTCTCAAGCAACTTTTGTGAATTGAGTAAAAACGTCATAAATACACAGATTACAGGTCAGCCGTTTGATGTAAGGTTTAGCTTGTGTGTGGATAAAATTGCATGTATTTTTAGTAGCACCTTGAATGACAGCACTGCATGACCAAGTGTAGAAGTATGTGCAGCAAGGGCAGGGCTCTATAACTGCTTTGTAAGAATTTTAAACTCTGTCTGTTACAATGCTTGCATCAGAATCCTTTTGGAAACTTTGGAGGGGACTTTTTCCACAGAGCCACCATAAGGCCTTGTTAAGGTTTTGAGTTGATATGCCTCAACAAGGATTGCATGGATTACTCTAAAATAGCCTTTTTGGATGATTCTTCATAAGCTTTGGGAATAACAAGCACTCCTGTCCTCATTGGGTCAACGTTGGGTCAAAGTTTCTAATACGTTGGGTTGGGAACGCACTAAATTAACATTAAACCTGCTAAACACTGACATGTTAACATTGCTATTGTCAAAAATAACGCCACAGTGCCTTTGTTTACAGACTATTTAACAATTAATCTTTAAGGTTATTTAATCTTACAAATGTAGGTATTGCTACATGTAGTGTAGTACAGCAACGCTTCTAATGTACCATAGATACACTGTGTCTTTGCCTTTTTTTTATGGATTTGTGGTTGAAATTGTTTGCGAGCTGACTAAAATGAATACAGGCCATTGAAAAATCCCGAGTCATTTATGTGGTTACTGCACCTACTTTCACTGTTTTACTGCATGGAATAACTTGCATTTCTCCTCATGAATAAAACCCATAAATTATTTCTGTGAGCAGTGATGATTAGTAGAATCACTTCAGGCTAGACTGTAGACCAGTTGGTGGTAAATTACTTAATAGAGGGCTCAGTATTTTACAAGCAGTCATGATTCAATTCAGCAAGAGGTCCAGGGGTTTGGGGCTGGGACAAATATATAGTGGACCCCCCTGCTGTCTCCAAGACTCAGCTTTCTTCTGTTTCCAGCGAGTCTGCCTCGAACTTCGAACACTTTAACATTTGGAAAGGGAAAAAATACCTCATTTGATTCCATTCTGCAAGGACTTTACCTGCAAAAAAATATTTGAAAAAAAAAAAAATCCCATTTCCTGGCAGACAGCAGCGAAGGAAACAGGAGCCAGGAAAGCTGCTTTTGATTCATGCTAAATTGCACTCTCAACACAGAACAGTATTCCCGTCCGTTTTTCATCCTTTTCACACTGCACCTACTTCACACGTACAGATCATATATACACACACACACACTCCTCATCCAAGCACACACACACAGACACACACACTCTGCATCCAGAGAAACACCCTCAATTCATTTATAATTGCGGAGTTCAGCATCTATTTTTGTGTGTTGTACCAATTCCCTCTTATTTGCCCACACAATTATGTCATAAATTTTAGCTTCAGTTGCAGCCGTCCCTGCTTTTGCTGTGGTGTAAAACCCAGAGTCACCATGTACTAGGGCATCTACATTAGTCAGTGTTAATTCCCACAAAAAGTTACATTTTGTTGCTGTCAGCGTTCTCTAATATTTTATTTATATTTTACAGCACCACTCCCCTTTAATTCAGAACCCCATCCCAGTTTAAAGGGAAATTTCAACGTTATGGTAAAGTGTAAAGTGAAGACATGTACAGTCATTACATTCAAAGTCTGTTTAAAAGAAGTAATTATTCACAGGCGCACATGTTAAACATGACATTCTACCAACTTATATAACACGTCCAATGTGATCTGTAACTATATACTTAACTGCAAAGAACCGAATCCAAGGTTTCACAGTGTATTTGATAATGGTCCCTTTATGATGCAGTCAGGGCTTTGATCGCTGGGCCATTTGCTCACATGAGAACTTCAGGTTTGTTATCCTGGAAAACCTCACTTGAAAAATCACTTCTGCAGAGTTACTTTCCCCTCATAATGGTTTTTCAACTATGAGTTACTGTACTGGCCGTTTCGGTCATTTCATTTGAGGCACGCTTCATAATGTCGTATTGTGGGCGGTTGGAAGAGTTTTTTTCTTCTAATCATTCACACCTTCCAATCATAACTGTCGTCCCAGGAATGCTCCTTATTCGTGGTGACCTTCTTCTGGTTCAGCTGTTTTCAACAGCTCTCCTGCAGTGGCAAAGCACAGGAGATGAAATTTGAAATTGATGCTCTCTGTTTTCTTTTTGGTTGGTGGTTTATTGGTCCTTGAAATGTGTCACATTCAATCTGGACAGCAGTGGAAGAAAGCTCTGCATCAAAATCCAGAGACAGAGCAAAGTTAACATTTTGTAAACTTGAGGTGACTTTGATTGATTCAATTAAACCAAATTAAATCAATTGTTTAAGGTTTCCCTCTTTCAGTTTTGTCTTGTTGAAAGAGTTCATAAAGAATGTGTATTCCAGATGCAGCTACAGGCTACGAAGAAACGCTAATGTTTAGCACAACGTTTTACATGTTCACATCCATTATATTGCACACATTTAAATTGACTTCTTCTTTCAACCGCAGAAGCAGACTTTCAGGTTTTGAACCACAATGCACAATGGGTAGTTTAGTCAGGATGTCAGAGAAGGGTCACCACTCCACACTTTAAGAGCCATACATCCTGAACATTACCTAATTCCTGCTCAGGGTTACCCAAACATGTCCTCCTCCGTCACACATTTACTAGATCTGAAAGTAGCTGCAAGATTTGTCTGTTTCTGTTTCTGCTGCCTGATATACGATAATCCTCCTCAGGTAGCGCTTTGGGGCTTTTTTTAACATTAACCATAAATGTCAAGCTACTGGAGACAGTAAGTCGGGGAGGTCCTACTAGGACAAAAGCATGTTGTCCAGACACAGTCTACAGCACAGGTACATTAAATCATTATTTTTCAGACAGGAAATATCTGCCACTGGACATTTTGCCTGTGAAATGTATGTCTAAGATGAAATGATTCCTGCCTGGCACAGCTCTACTCTCTGAACTGGAGTGTTTTTACACTCATCTATTTAATGTTGGAGTTTGATCACGCACAAGATGGGATTTAGAGGGATTCAGAAAGCAGAAAAACACGTCCAGGGCCAAGGTCTTTGACCTGGCCGTATAAGGTGGCCAATACATTAGCATTTCTCCCTTGGCATGTGTTGATGGTTGGGTGTCTGACTGTGGCCGACCTCTCTGCAGTGGCCCCTGTCCTCCGAGCTCTGGAGAGGGAGGCCTGTTCCTCATTCCTCACCCCTTAACCCCCCCCTCCCTCCCTTCTCAAAACCCTAAACCGCGAGCTGCCCCATGTCTGATGCCACCCTCTCACTCTCCTGACCTCAGTGGCAGACCCCAGACCAGCTGAACACAGCCTGAATCGCCACACAGTTACCACACAGCCACCGCCAATGGCCCGGCCGCCACCCTCCTGCCCCTGACCTATCACCCAAAACATTACCATAAACTTCTGCCCCGGCTGCCAAGCAACACACACAGCAGAGCTCACAGTCGGACTGTGCTCTGCCCGTCCATGTAAAGATAGCTCTGTCTGAGGGGGGAAAGTGGAGCTGGTGTCGAGGGGGTGAGCGCTCTCTTGGTTACGGTGGCGTTTTACACGCAGCATAAAAGCTAGTGTGGTGTTGTATGCTTTGTGGCTTGTGGTGATGCCGTGGCGTGGCATGTGGAACACACTCCTGCCCGCTGCAGCAACCACCGTGCAGTATTTGAGGCTGAGGAAAAATGCATCTGCTGGTGTGCAGACCGCTTTTTGAAAAACTTTGCCACGAGTCTGCGCGCTCCACGTCTTTTACACGCTTGCGTTGCCTCCGTCTCGGCCCGAAAAATTGAAGAATCAATAGAGGTCTGATTGAGAAGACCACACACGTGGTGTTACAGTAATGACGGGCTGAGTCTGTTTGTTTGCACAAGTGAAGAGCAGGCTCAAATCATTAATGAGTGCTTTGCGTCCAGCGTGCAACCACAGCTAAGCCAGTGGGTCAACAAGGTTGGTCAAACTAACCACTGTGTGTGTGTGTGTGTGTGTGTGTAGGTGTGTGTGCGTGTGTGTGTGTGTACTCAAAAAACAAAATAAAAGTTTAGATGCATAAACTGAAGTTTGATGAGTCTTTCAGACCCCTTTTTTTCATTTGCGTGTGTTAATTTGTTCTTACATCATCTGTAAGCACTCGCTGTCATTTTTCTATATTTAACATCATTCTATATTTACTTGTGCTCGGACACACAGATAGAGTTTTGTTTTCACGTTGAAAAAAAAAAAAAAAAAAACCCTCGCTTCACTTGAAATTTCCAAATCGTTATAATGCGCGGTGCGAGCCAAGTGCACTTCACCAGCTCAAAGCTGATCCATTTACTGTAAACGAGCTTGTCTCTGTTGGTTTCCTGACCAATTACTGTACAGGGAACTTAGGTCCTGTATTTATT